AAAAAAGAAGTGAAAGCAAGCAGAAGAATTTTCTATTATGCAAAAACGAAATTTTGACCCTTGTTAAAAACATCCTTCCAAGTTTTAATGGTCAAAGTTCGCACCATGTAAAGTCTGATTGGTTCCCACAATGACGTAATCACGTTAACCAATTTAACACTAAATACTGATGTAAGATAAAAATTTTTTCTATGCAATCTTTCTCTGATCAATATCATTATCCAATCGAATGTTTCTCTCATTTGGGACCGCCCATGCAAAAATGGTAATCCTTTTTTACAAAAAAGAAGTGAAATCAGTGGAAGAATTTCTATTATGCAAAAACCAAATTTTGACCCTTGTTAAAAACATCCTTGCAAGTTTTAATGTTCAAAGTTCCCACCATGTAAAGCCTTATTGGTTCCCACAATGACGTAATTACATTAACCAATTTAACACTAAATACTGATGTAAGATAAAGATTTTTTTTATACAATCTAAGTAACACCTCTTATTTCTCTGATCAATATCATCCAATCTCATATTCTCTCTTTGGGACCGCCCATGTAAAAATGTTGATTCTTTTTTACAAAAAAGAACTTATCTTCAAGTGAATAAGAGAGAACAAAGTGATTGATGAAATGGAACTTCTATGGATAAAAAAGTTAAAACCAAATTTTGACCCTTGTTAAAAACGCCCTTTGAAAGTTTTAATCAAAGTTCGCACCATGTAAAATCTGATTGATTCCCATAATAGCGAGTAGATAATAAAAAAATACCGGTTTATCGTGTGTATTTTGTTTTATCAAAGCATCATCTTAACAAGTTAGTTCTGGCTGACATGCATATATTAAAAAAAAAATTAATTTCTGCCGATCAGTATATTCGCGTACATGTATATATAGCCCCCTTTTATTGGAATATTGTTATTATTATTATTATTATTATTATTTTCTCATAAAATTTCGCTATCAATTTCCTCCCTCTTTCCTTTAATTTTGAAATGTTCTCGGGATTATTTTATTATTTATTTATTGTTTTGTTGACATTTCTTTATTTTTTTTATTTTATTAATAATAATTTTATGTACTTGCTTATTTCTTTAGTCGAAAGGCTTTCTTGGAAATCAGCTAAGTTTTTTTTGTATTGTTTTTTATTGTTATATTGTTGCATCGTTCACATTTTTCATCATTTCTTTTATAAAAAATTTTTTTTGTAGTTCTTCGATCCTGCTTTTCTCTTGTCGGTTCTCTTTTCTCTCAGTAAGAGTAGAACTGTGGACCGATACCCTTTTGAATTCCTTTTAATCCCCACTTCTGATCTTTTTGATCACCGGATTTGATCACCAGTTAACATTAATTTTTATAAAATTTTAAATTTTCCCTTTCTTGTTCCAAGTTTTGTTCGAATATCGTTTTCTTTCTTTTTACTGGTTTCTTGGCAATTCTTCCAGTTTATCGAAAAGAATTGCCATTGTTAGCTAGGAGGTGCCACCATTTGGTAAGTTTTTATAATATTTTCATAATCCCGAGAACACAAATTATAATTTTTAATAATAAAATAAATTTTGAAATATGTATAGTTTTTAATAATAAAATAATATGTATAATTTTTAATAATAAAAATAAAATTTTTAATATTTGTATTTATTGATTTGTATTTTATTGATTCGTATTTATTGATGTTTATAAAAATAAAAATCCAATTATTATAATTATTGGTCGCGAGCAAAATAAATTTGAATGATCGATTCGTAGTAATATATAAAAAAAATTTTTTTTGAAAACGATTATTATTATAATCATGTATTTTTCCGCAAAAATATCCGCAATTTTGCGCATCATGAGAATGTCCAATTTTTATTTGTGGGTTGGGTGCATGTTATCCTTATTTAGAAATCGATTTTGCGATTGCGGATATTTTTTGTGAATAACTAACGATTTCCGTATAATATTGGTTAATAATAATAAGACATGTACCCATTTTCATTTTAAAATTTAAATTTTATAGAAAGGTTAAAATTATAATAAAAATTATGAATTAGTAACACTTTGTGGGGTCTCCGTGATTATTAAATTTATTAAATTATTTATCATTTTTAAATTCGATTCAAAGAAAATTTTGGTTGCCCCAAGAATTTATTTTTGTACCAAGTAAACAGCATCTAATTTTTTCACTAATTATGATGTTATAGTTTAATATTATGTAAAAAAATTTTTTTTGATCAAAAGTCTCGAAACTCGATTTTCCTAGAGCGTCCCCACTTATTGATATAAATTTCCAATTATTATCCCTTAAACAGTTAATCGGCCATTGACAGCCGATAAAATTTTCTGATATAAAAATTTTTTTCTATGAATAAAAATCCAGTCGTTGTCCTTGTGGTTTCTGTAAAATCTTCTTTAAAAGTTGGTCGATTGACTGTTATTACTTTGCTGATCGTTAAAATTGAAAACTTTAATTTGTGTTACCATTAAAGAATACTCTGACCGTTTAAGAGATAGTTATTACTGTTGTTATTGTTATTAGGCGGGAAAGCGAAATAATTGATCGCAATAAAATAAATTGAGTGAATAAGCTTTACCAGTGAATGATTTTTAGGTTTTATTTAATATAGTTATTTTCTTTCGTTCAAGAAAAAGGTATCTTTAAAATACACGAGATTCAAATTGTTTATTATTATATTAATATACATTCGGATTAATTAATTATAAACTAATTTTGTAGACTTGGACACTTTTTGTAGGGTAAAACGATTTTGAGACAACTTTATCAACTAAAGATAACTCTTGTGTTCAAGATAATTTTATCGATTAAAGACAACGGATCCAGTGGCTATCGTCTTTTTTCGATATTGACCTAGTGCTAACCAGATATTTAACAACTAATGTTAATAAATACATGATAAAATGAATAATAAATATATAAAAAACGTTATTAATATAATAATTACAACGGACAACGAATTTTTGGTAGTGGTGGTGGTGGAATTAAATAATAATAATATTGCCATTACTACAAGAAAGAAATATAAAAAACCCCTTCTTAAATCGTCTAAAGATTGTAAAATAATAAAGCTCTTTGTGAGGAGTTTTCTTAATTGCAATACTAAAAATAATATCATAACCTTGAGTAGTAAATAGATAAGGTTTCTATTCGAATAAAACGAATAATTTGAGTAAAAAATAATTTTCAAGTAATTCAAATAATTTGAGCGAATAAACAAATAAAACAAATAAAACAAATAAAACAAATAAAGCGAATAATAATAAAACAAAATTCAATTAATATTAATGCGTCATTAGATATCGATCGTTTTACGTGATTGTGACAAATCATTCAAACCAATCCACAAATTGGGCCTTTTTCATATATTATACGCCTCCACTACTGTTTAATTAATTTAATATTTAAATGCATCTATAAATCTCCAAATTCTAAGAGTATATTTGTTGTCACCTTCAAGAAAAAAAAAAAGAAAAAGAATTTAATATCATTGATGTAAAAAAATTATAAACTCGCTTGATTATTTTGTCAGAGTACGTACATAACATTCATTATTTGATGATGGTATATATTAATTAGAATCAATAAATTAAAATTTTGGTGTTTTTGTTTCATCTATGGGGAATTTGTGTTTCACATCAAAAACAAGATCAATTTCCAAAAAAAACACTTAATGGTACTTTTCTGCTTTTGGTTTATATTATTAATAACTAAATAATTGCACAAATATATTTTTTTGTAACTCCTTTATTTCTCTTATATAGATAATCATTATTTTTGCAAATTTGCAAATTTAAAATCCAAAAAAATGTCAAACAATAATGATAATGATGAATTTGAAAGAGTCTTTGTTTATGACGAACATAAATGGTATAATCGACTTAAAGGGAAAACTTACTATAGAGTATTTGGAAATTGGGAATGTAATGATTGTGGAAATTTATGGCCTTCTGCATATACGTGGATTTCTTTCAAGAAGTTTTTAGAAGGTGTTGATGCTAACCTATTGGTGAATTCAAAATTGCGAATGTATCAAAGATGTTCAGGGTGTCTAAGTGATCATAGTGCGAGGCTTTTAAACTATTATCAATTAGGAGAGAGAGGTTCTGGACCACGAGGAATGCGTGGAATTTCTGGAGGTCATAGAAGAGATTTATGTGAGAAGTGCTGCACAACCCAGGAATATTGTGTATAATTTAATATATATATTTGTTCATTCATTAAAAATACTGTTTTTTAAACTTTTGGTTTTAGTTTATAATTTATTTATAATTTTTATTGAACTGTGCAAATTAATGTTTTAATTTTTTATGACAATGGCTAATTATTTATTTTTGTATCAAACTACACATTCATTCTTCAACAGTCGCTTAATAATTTAGGATGTTGAATGAAATAAATTATATATATATATATATATATGATGAATCTATTCTCCGAAAGAGAAAGCATCATTGGTAAAAACAGGATTGTTCTACTTAGCATAAGTTGTAATCTATAATTTGTCAAACCAAATTACTAAACGGTATCCTATTTTTAATTGAGCGGTTAAAGCCGTCTTGAAGCGTGTCTGTTTGTTTTTACAATACAGTCGCGCTTTCTGCATGCTATGATATAGCGAGCTGACGTTCACGTCATTTTTAATTTAGGAATTATTACAATTAAAAATTGGTAATTTCATTTTGTGGATGTGTCGCAGAACCAGCCAAATGGGAATTGGTAAAATTCAACATATTAAAAAACTATTTTTTCCATTTTTAAACTAGATTAATATATTAACTTCACCATTTGCATGATTTATATAATACTTTGAACTAAAGAGTATGTATCATATTACCATTATTAATTGAACCATTTAATTGTTGTCAAATTTACCAAATTGGTTTATATAATTAATTATTAGTGTTGAATCAAATATATTATTTCATAATTAATTGCTATAATATTTTAATAACAAGAACAAAATTTACGCATTGCCTCAATCTCATTGATACTTAGTCTTGTTCTATAATCACCATGTATACATTTTAAAATCGAAAATTTCGTTCACAAACTGCCAATTCTTGCAATTATAATAGAACATTGCCTTCATCCACATTGATACTTAGTACATGGCCTTTAAACCTTTACCTTAAAATACAATACAAAAGATGAAATAATTATTTGTTAAATTTAAAATCACCCACTCCTATTTCCATTGATGGTGACAGCAAGCTTAATTAGGCCAACAAAACAATCAGATGTATTAATAGACCTCTCTTCCAAATTATTTTGTCAATTCTTTAACAGGTTTGAAATTTCACTATTTCCAAAACAATTAAATACATCACTATCAAAGGATGACCATTTTCACGAATCTATCAAATAACTAAATGTTAAAATCCCTTCTCAATCAAAAACCGGATTTGATCTTTTCAAATCCACTGTTGTACAAAATAAACCCTCTATTACCATTGCTATTTAATTTCTTGTTTACGACAAAAACTGTGATTTGTGAATCAAGGCTTTCAAGTTCTATAAATAATATCACAAAGAAATTCATGCGATGGAAATTTGTTAAGCGCCACAATAATATTACTATAATGCGATTTTATTTCAAAAATCAATTTCAACAAGGTTTTAGTTTCTACCTTTCTAGCGAGTTATCACTTACTTTGTTGATAGGATATTTTTTTTTTTGATATGAAATTCTTTCAATTGTTCTTCAAATTCGTAGTCACTATTGAATACCAAGTCTGCATAATTTTTAGCAAATTTTCTTTCACTAGTTGACCATTGATCAATATTTCCGAGATATCGGGTTTTCTTTGTTTTCTATGTTAATATTTACATAGTAAACAAAGAAAACCCGATATCTCCATGAGAATGTGACATATCAACAAAATAAAACCATACCTTTGTAGAGAAAGGTCTTGGCACTGTATTATGTGAATTAAATCATATATTTTCGCGATTAAGTAAAAATTTTTTCTCGATATATTTTTAAAATTGTCAGGGGACCCTTTATTTGAGAAAATCATTCTAACGGGAATAGATTCGTACGTTTATGCTGATAGCTTTCTTCCCAATAATGCAAATAATAATTCATTATCTTTGATTTATTGTAGTGACTATTTATTATTTTACTTTATCTCTTCACCACACAGTGGTCTAAATACTTTTTTTTTAATAATTAACTCATCTAATATTTATCTAAAATATTATCTTCACCGTCAAACCATTATTATTAATTGTCGAGTAGAAATGTTCATCGTGTAACAGGCGATAATTTTAGGGATGGTAATAATCGGCGCTCAATATAGTAATAGTAATAGTAATATTAATATTAATATTAATATATATATAGTACAGTAGTAATAACAAAATTTTGTCAAAATGAAATTACTATTACTAATTGAAGTTATCAATTTTTAAAATCCGTAACGAAGTCTGTTGAACAAGGGTTATACTAATACTGTATGTCACTATTCAATTTAACATTAATCATCAATAAAAAATTTTATTTTATTTTATTTTATTTTATTTTTTTAATTTTTAATATGCGTAAACGAGTTTGGAAGAAAAAAACTTGAATGTGATTAAAGTATTTTTTTTACATACATTTGGTAAGTGTTAGCTAGTTATTATTATTATTCTGACTTCTTACATTAATTAACATAATATATTTATCTATAAAGGATCGTATGGAGCTATGGTCAATGATGATGGTTTCAGTTGGAATTTCTTATTTGAACGTATAACGAAAGTCACCGTTCCAGTATTATTTAATGATCGTGATAAATTTAGGTTTGTTGTGGACATTCAAAGTAAGTCTATAAATTATTTCACAAATGCTTGTGATGATTGAAATAAAATATTATACTGATGCATTGCATAATACAAATTAGTATGTATCAATTCTTTATCTCAGATTAAACCACAAGAAACTGCTGGAAAAATCGAGCAACTTCGGTTAGACCATAGTTACAATAAGTTCAATCCATCATCTAAGGATCTGACAGATTTAATACCATTCAAACTGCATATACCACAAAAGACAAAGACAAAAAAGGTGTAGAGCCATAAGACCGACTAGCTTGCCACATGGCACTAAAAGTCCATTTATAATTGGTCCATATAGAACAAACATTTTATTTTAAAAATCGAATCCCTATTTTCATATTTATATACATGCTTCAGAAGCAATTAAAAGGTAAATATTGTTATTATTTATCATTTTAAAAAGGTGATTATTTTAGTCGTTATTAAAAAAAAATAGCAGTGGGGATTATTGGTCTGTTCAATTGAAACCTCAATCTTTTTTTTATTTGCCTTTTAGACCTGATGATAATGTAGTTGCAGCTGCATCTACATCAACTGAAGAAACCGGGACCAAGTTTAATCATGACAAATCCTTAAAATTTTTCAAAGAAAATAAGGATTGGAGTCTCTCCAAATATATAGATCATATGGAATCTCAATTAAATGATGTAGAGAAGCCAATATGTTAAACCATATGATGAAATTTTGTAATGATGCAGAGAAAAAAAATGCTAAAAATTACTCAAATATATTTGAAGTCATTTGTTTTTAAAAGATCGTTTTAATAAAATATTAATATTATTTTGAATGAGATTTAAGAATTTAAGAGCGCTAATAATTATTATTATCCCTTAAACAGCTGTTGATAGCCGAAATTTTTTTTCTGTTATAAAAAACTTTTTTTGAAGGTATTATTTTCTAATACGAAAATGATCTTTGAGATTCAGTTGATTGATCTGTGAATAAAAATTCGGTTGTTGTCCTTGTGGTTTTCGTAAAATCTTCCTTAAAAGTTGGTCGATTGACTATTTTTACTTTGCAGATCGTTAAATTGGCCAATAAGAATGCAAGATCGTGATCAAAAAATTATTTGTGTTACTACTAAAGAATACTTTGACCGTTTAGGGGATAAAAAACTAATAGTAATAATTACAATGTACTAATTCATTTATTATTTTAAATTTAAAGGAAATCAAAAAAGTAAATATACATATTAATAAAATCAATCACCTCAACTAGCTTGAGTTTAACAAACACGACTAATAATCTTGATGATTTAATTTTTTCTGATATACAAGATCACATTCAGCTCAAATGGTGTGTATTCCTTTTTACTCTGAAACAGTTGTCAATTGTGGATCTGATGATTTGCTTGTATTAATATTTTAGGGGTGAGACTGTCTCTAAAGTAGCATCAGCTAGAAAGATTGATTTGCAAATCATATATAGATTAGGTAGTAAAGAACTTAGTCATTCAGAAGTAGAGTTGTTAGTTGAAAGTTATAGTTTGACAAACATTTAGGCATTTTGACTGTTGAAATATTTGACAAGGTCACTCGATTTGCCATAATGTTGAAATATTGAAAGTCTAAATTAATATTAACTATTAACATTAATGTATAATGAATATTAGTAAATTTGAGAATGGTGCCAATTTTTTAATAGTACAAATTTTTATTTGAGATTAGCTGATAAATTGTATATACATTGATACAATGTAACTTCACTGTAACAATAAAGGAATTAAAAATTTTTTTCCAAATTTTTATTATAGAAGAATATAAAGTTTGTGATTTTTTTGTGAATTACTTCTAAGATTGTTATAGGAACTAGATTTTATTGGGTGTTTTTCAAGAAGCTTGTTTTAGTAGCTAAAGCTGGGAACTTGAACTTGATGATCCTAATATTGAACAATTATTGTTAGACAATCCTGAATTTGGCAAGAAGACGTTGTGCGTGAAATTCAAATTAGCCAATCAGAACCTTGTATCCAAACGCCCCACCCCAAATTTAAGGATTCCAATAGTGAAAAAAAAATGATGATAATGATGATAATGACACAGACAGCAATAATGAAGATAATGAATTCGATGAAGGTGGATTTTGAGCAAGCATTTGTACAAAGTTTACAGAATGAATAAGATAAATAATTTAGCATATAAAATTTGTTTTTTTTTTTATAAATAAAAAAATAATAAGATATTTGATTATACATGCAGCCCAAATTGGTTTGGTGATTTTGATGGTCAAAATTATTCCAATTTCGATGGTAGAAAGTAGAAATTAATTACGGCATTCACTATTAAAAACATAAGTGTAACACCCCTTTACTACATGTGTAACCCCCTTTATGACAGTGTCAAAATACTTTGGGCTGCATGTATATATTTGATATTGCTTAAATAATTGAGCTGCACCGACTGTAACACTCAAGCAATGCCTGAAAAGGGCGTAATTTAAGCATTTTGACAACATTTAGGCATTTTGTTTCAATGGCATTTAGGCATTTTGACATTATTTGGACTTCTAACATCAATTTGGACTTTCAACATTAATTTAGACTTTTGGCATAGCTTTAGACTTTTGACAAATATTTAGACCTTTGACATCAATTTAGACTTTTGACATGCCTAAATGTCAAATGATGAAATGTTTCAACCATGCTCAAAACATTTGACTAACAATTCTATTCAGAAGCTGCTTGATCAGCAGCACCAAATAAATCATTAAAGATCATAGTAAATGTATGTGAACAAATAAATGCATTCTCAGTCAGTATTTGGAACATGACCTTTCAAAAGAAGCAGTTGATGATTCTGCTGTTTTAGGATTACAATTAGCTGGTAAGGGCTTTTTACACTACATATTTGTAATTGATGCTCATAATTCTTATTATAGATGTTGCCCAAATTAAAACCTCAAATCCCCTTGCTCTCCTGTCCAATAAGCATCCAGCATAACAAAGGGGTTGCTGATCATCCTCACAAATTTCAGGCACTTAACCTACATTTGGGATTTGGGAATTCTTCAATGGATGCCCAAATTTAGTTTGTGCATTTGGGATTTGGGCAGCATGTAATTCTTATCATTATGTTAGCTCTCCATGTCAAGTCATTGGTATTGATCTAGTAGATAATGGATTATATTTTGAGGGTCCAGCATTTAGGTTCCCTGCTAAAGCTTGATGATATTGCTACTTTGGAGAAAACTTTGGAGGTGTTATGTTTATTTAAGATAAGAAAGAGGGCAATCGGTGTTCCTGACATTTAATGATGATGGATGCTTATAACAACTCCTTTAAGTAATAGGATAATATAAAATCCATTTCACAGAATCTTTCATTCTGAAAATATTTCAACACTAAATAATCATAAGGCCAGTTTTATCAGATCAACATACTTCACCCCAAGAAAACCATTGTTTAAGAAATAAAGAATTGCAATCTGTTGATTTTGAATCCTGTTAATCTTGTTCTTAATTTAAATATTGCATTTTCAAAATATGTGTTTCTCTGTAATAAATTAATTATTTATATATGTATACTTTTTATTCAATTTTAGATTGTTATTATACTAATGTTTAAAAGAATTTGTAGCATAATTCAATTGTATATTGTATATATATATTTGCAAATATTATTTTTTATCATTATTAAAAGTAGTTAACAGTTCATCAGGAAAATTTTAGAGATGTCAAATAGTGTTGAACAACATTCCTGTTTTTAACACCAAAAGAGTGTTAATCAACAAACCCTGTGCAAACAAACAATATTGAAAAATCCATGTTGTATAATGCAATAATATATTTACAGTATATGTCAATCATTAATTAACTATATATTAACATTTAATTTTACATTTTTATTAAACATTTTCTTAAAACATGTATTATTAAGGTATTATTTTTTTTTTTTTAACCACTATATAAATAAGTGATAATATTATGTCTCCTGCTGTTCTGCAATAGTGTAAAGCACTGAACAACAATGGATGGTTGCAGAGATAATCCAGAGGGTGAATTAATCTTTCCAAAGGGTAACATTATTAAATGTTGTTCAAGCTATATGGATAACATGCAGTCCACAAGGAATTCTAACAGGATTTGTTCATATTTTGTTGAATTCTACAACAGCACCTCCTTTTAATCCAGACATGTGTGCTGTATTATCAGTGAGCCAATATTGACAGAGGGATGAATCTAAAGAATGTTTGCTAATCATATCTAAAACATTAGGCAAAATAGTAGATGCAGAACAGTGTTCAAGATCTTTCATGTATAATATAGTAAGCATTGGGATTTTTTTTTTCTTCCCAATAAGATATGCAAGCTAAAAAAATCTTTTTATTCCCTCTTGTACTTTTATCAGCCATTCCTTGACAACAATGATACAATCTTTTGATAAACTCCAGGGCCACATACCCCTCTGAAAATTAGTTGCATCATCATACCTCAGGGCAAACTAGCCAGGTTAGCCTTGTGAACACAAGGAAAAGGTAAGAATGACTGTAATGTCTTCAAGGTAGTGTGTATGCCTTGACAATTGCCCGATTTTCAAATAATCAAACGTTACATATCACCTGCAACAGTCATGTCACCTTGACATCTTATGATTTATATATTTAATATTAATAATAATATTAATAATTGTTAATCTGTTATTTGATGTGAATTTTCTATAATAATTGCCAAAAGACAGTACAAATTCTGTTCTGCGTTTTGTTTTCAATAATATACATATTATATAAAATAATAAAAGATAAATATCTATACATTTATATAAAACAATAAAAATAAAAAATAGTGTATCTCTCACGATTAATAAATAACAACACCTTGTCTTCTTTAGGAACTCATACCATACAACATTCATATTCCTCATGTAAAAAATAAATAAATTGTTTTTTCAAAAAAAAAAAAAAAATCAATATGATTTGTACGTGTTAATAATAATTAAGGCGTAAAAGTACTTGATATTAAATTTTCTGGTTTAGAATTTAAAATTTCCGGAGTCAATCATAAATATGATTGTAACACGAATATTTAGTTTGATCAAGAAAATTTTTTCTTTAAAAAAATGAAATTATTATTTCAAAAATTTATATTTAATAATAATAATAAAGGAATAAAAAACTATTTATCAATTAAAAGTAAAAATATATCATTGAGCAATAGTAAAAATAATAATAAGTCATCTTATTCTCATAATAATTTTAAATATTATTATTACTCATTGGTATCATCATCTCCATCATTTTCTCTAGTTAAATCAACTCCAAATGAACTTTTCATGATATTATTAACAACCAATCAAATATTTCTAGAAGCAATTCACAATTCATTGAGCTTACCTTGGTGGAAAACAATTATTCTTACAACTATAATATTAAGATCTTCATTTACTTTACCTTTAGCAATTTATCAACAAAAAAATGTTGTTAAATCTATTAGTTTACAACCACTATTGAAAGGATGGAATGAATCAATTAAAAATAGGCTGATTTCAAAATTTAAAGTTGAAAGGAAAAGTTTTTCGGAATTTCAAAAAGAATTTAAAAGACAGGTAGGTAGGTAAATTAATAAACATAATTAATATAATAAATAAATTAATGATTTTTTGATTTTTATTATTAGTTTAACTTGAAGAAAAAACAAATTTATAAAGATAATAATTACAGGCCTTTAAAAATATTTATACTACCATTTATTCAACTGCCATTATTCATTGTAATGTCATTAACAATACAAAATATGGTCAGGAATAAGAAATTTGAAGATAATAATAACAGTTCTAGCAATAATGAAAGTTATAATGATGAAAACAATTATATTAATGAAAGCAATGTCATTGATTCTAATACTAAAAGTGGTGGCAGTAGTTCATATTATTTATATAAAAATGATCCAACTTTAATATTTCCATTTGCAATTGGATTTGTGAATCTTTTAAATATTGAAGTAAGTATATATAATAATAACAAATTTATTTGATTGTGGATTTTTTAAATTTTAATTATTAAACCTGAAATTTGTAATACAAAACCTAGATTAATAGTTGGTTCACCAATAAAAAAATTTCAAATCCCCAAAAATTATTGAAGTATATTAGTAGGGGAATTTCAATCATCATGATTCCAATTGCTTCTCAAGTTCCAATGGTATTTATAATTTAAATAATGGATAATTTGGGGTTTTTTTTTAAAAAAACCAAAGTTTTACTAATAGATCAGGTGATTTTTTTTTAAAAAATTTAGGCAGTTTGTATTTATTGGTTAACTTCTAGCACTTTTGGTCTATTTCAAAATCTTTTGTTCAGAACAAAGTTTTTTAGAGGATTTTTTGGTTATCCTTTATACTAAAAAAACTCTTGTCCGCCGCGAATTTTCGGGATATACAAATAGTAATATATATTAAATAAAAATTTTAAACCCATGTTTGAGAATATGTCATCCTTGCAATCAGAAAACAGAAAAAAAAATGGATAATTCCAATATGCATAGTGCGGGCATCTATGTATGAGTTCCGAAATTTAAAATGTCGATCACACGCGACATATCTAGGGATGGGACGGTTTCACTAACAAACGGTTTGAAACCAACCCCTGGTTTTTTTTGTATGGTGATTTCCAAAAGGAATTCTATTGTTGTCATTGCCTTCCTTGGTATTTTAATAAGGGTTTATGTAATGTTGTTCAAACTGGTTCCACGAAACCAAACATCCCTCGACATATATACCTGAATAAAAGATTGACCCTTGATTTTAAAAATTATTCTATATATATTACAGATGCTTTGATAAATATAGCACAATAAACAATGTTTTTTATTATCTATATATTAAATTTATCTCTCTATAAGCCGATTTTAAGATTTTTTGTGAAAAATTTTTTTTTATATATATTCAATAGTAATAGATAATGGATGGGGAGAAAAAATGTATTCAAAAAAATAGAAATTTTGAAAAATGAATTAACAGTCAATAAAAATAATATGATTTTTTCTGGATACAGTGAAAAAAAAGTGCCATTTTTGAATATTTAAAAAGATTGAATAATGGGATAAACTCTAACTTAGAAGCAGCCCAAATAGTTTTTATTGATCCTGCAAGTCAAGGACAATAAGATATTTGGCATCATATTGATTATTAAATTAATCAATCTCTATTAGTTAACAAGGTAAGCATAAAAAGGTTATCAGATTAGTTGATGATGAGGGTATTGCTGAAAAATCTCGCTTGTGGATTAAGGTTTCCAGTCCAAACTATTTTGAAAAAAAGTAGCTTTGACAATAATTTGGGCCTCTCAATATTTTTTATAAGAATGAACATGAAAAACTTATATAAATCAACTTATTTTAATTAAATAATTTAAAAATAATTTCGCCCAATTTCAGCTATTAATAAAAAATAGTTTGGCTATAAAAATTAATTTTTGTTCAAAGTGTTTTTGGCAATTTCGGCTACTAAGAGAAGTAATTTCGACCAGGAACCTTAATGTGATAAGAAATCAAGGAGGAAAAACAACACAACAAAGTTTAAAAAATTCATTGAGCAAAATTTGCTATTAGATGATGGAATTACTAAAAAGAGCATGAGTATTACTACAGCCTCAAGATGGTTGAATTTATTGGGTTTATTGTTACTTGCCAAAACTCCTCCAGAAATCAATCAGCAGAGTTTACATTTGGGGTTTTGACAATTGGCAGAGTTTCAGCAGTCATTAATAGGACGAATTTAAGCCCAGGTGGAAAACAACCCAAAATGAGAAATACAACCTATGGTATTTGAAGATGGAACACCAAAAGGAATGAAACAAGTATTAATTGAAAGAGAACTGTGGGGAGATGATTTATTAGCAGGCTGTAAATTATGTAAAGGTAAAATTAAAGTTATGGATGAAAATAGGGTAGATAGTTGATTTTAAAAACCTGAAGTATGCATTGGAAGAAGCTATTTAAAAGCAGAGAACTTGTGTATTTTTTACCCCGAATTTCATTATGAATTACTGTAAAGTCTCAAAAGATAACACCTCCCTAAAGATAGAGTCCCCACTTTAAACCAATTGAAATCATTTGTTACACAGTTGTAAAAAGTGGGTGCTGTCTTTCGAGACTTTATTGTAAAGTTTATTGAAAGATATTGGGGTAAAGCAAAAAAATATGCTTGAAAGAAGTGTGATTATATATCGGATGGCTTATTAAATATTGTTCCAGAAGCCCTAGATGTAATGACAATCAGAAGATTTTCAAGAAAATCATGGAGATACATTGATCTATATAGGAATGGAATTATTAGAGTATGCTGTAGATTCCATAGAAGAATTCCCGAGTATATCGTTCAGGAATTAAAATAGATTTAATGTTTTATTCAATTTGTTTATTTGTTTTAATTTCTTTTTCTTTGATTATTTTTTTTTGCTATTTTTAAATTATTATAAAAATGAAACTATTAGAATCTGTTTTCCAAAACAAAAATCGTGCAAAATAAAAATTAAATTACTTGTATCGGGAAGATCTACATTTTTAAGTTTCGGGACTATTGACTTTATAGACGACGCGCACCATATACAAAAACCATTCTCAATGATGACCACATACATAGCTTTCTTTTATTGAGTATATAATAATTGTTTTTAATATTATTTTCATTGTTTTTGACATTTTCTCTATAAATAAATACGTTGTATAACCATTTTTACAACACAGTCAATTATTTTCTTAATTAGTAAATGTACCCACCATACTTTTTGTTGAACAAATAAAACAAATAGAAATTAGCATACAATATATTTGTGATTTTATTTTTTGTTTTTTTTTTTTTTAAATTGTGTTCATTGGGAAAATTAAACAATATAAAGAATTGAAAATTTGAAACTTTTTTTTATTATACTCATTTTTTACACACTCACACTCCTTGTATATATGGATTCTTGTAAACCAAATATATATATATATATAGACATATAGGTATAATAGAAAATTATTAAAATAGAAAAATTTAAATTTTACAAATGTCCAGCGTAAAAAATAGAGCAAAACTATTTGAACAATCAAAAGAAGCCAACACTACTAATAAAACTGCTAACATCCCCCCTAATAAAGTACTTGCTAATAAATTCAACACTACCAATAATAAATTTAAGCTTAACAACACTACTGCCACTACAACCACTACCACCACAACAACTAATAATAAATTTAATGCTAATTCTTCTGGTAAAAGTAGTAGTATTAAAGAGAATGAAAACAAAGATAATAATAAATCCACCGTTGGTCGTTTTAATAGTAATAACAGCAATACTAGTAAAAATGATACTGTCGGTAGAAAATTTGGATCTAATGCAAAAACTAACCCTATCACCACCACCACCGCCACCAATCACACACCTAGAAAACTCTCAAACCCAACCCCAAAAACTACCACAAAGTCAAATAACGCCGATACTACTACCAAAACTACCAAAGCTAGACCTACTAGTATAATAAAAAAGGGGGCTGAGAAAGTGGTGGTGGAGGTGGAGAAAGATGCGGTAGAAATAGATCATAGTAGGAAAAAGGTTTCTTTGGGTTTATTAGAGGATGATTTAAAAGAATTATTATCATCAAATGTTGACATTAATAGCATAGACTCGAGAGATTTGGTGGCGAAAGCATCTACTGTAGCTGAAAAAGATCCGCCTAATACTGCTGCTGCTGCCATAGCTTTATTAGCATCAAGAATTTCTGCTCTAGAGGATGAATTAGAAACTGTCGGCAAAGAAATGGTTGAAAATATTAAGCGTGAAGTAGATTTAGAATTGGAATTGGATAATATGATCACGCAAAAAGACGAACAATTAGAAGCTGCTACTAAGCCATTAGTTACTAGGATAAGTCAATTGGAAGCTGATTTATTACAATATACCAAAACAAATTCTACTTCTACGAGTTCAAGATCTTCAAGAGATTTTTTTTCTGACCTTAATACTCCAACAAATAGTGCCACAAGTACTAATACAACTCATACTTCATTTATGTCTTACGATAAGCCACTAGAAGACTATAACAGTAATAATAACAACAATGACAATAACAGTGGTGATATAGAATTAATAAAACAAGAATTGATGGACAAGCATTTTGATGAATTGGAAAAAATGAAAAAAGAATTAGCCGAGAATGAAGAACGTATAAAATCAGAATTAAACGAAAGATTTGTAGCTGAAAAAGATGAATTGATAAGAAGCCATTACAACGAAAAGGAATTAATAGAAACTGAAATTGGAAAATTAATAAAATCAAAAAATCTATTAGAAAAAGAATTAAGATCCATTGAAAATAATTTCAAAGATGAAAAAAATGCGCTAAGGCAAGAATACGAAGATGAAATGAATTCATTAAAACAAGAATACGAAGTTGAAATATCGAAATTAAAAGAAACAAATCTCAAGTCGGAATCATTTTCTTCCTCATTGACTTTATTAAATGAATTACGTGAAAAGAAAGAAAAAATTGAAAAGGAATACGATAATTTAAAGGCAGAACATTCAAAAACATTAAAAGAAATAAATTTATTAAATATAAAAAATCAAAATTCTGAAAAAAAATTTAATGATCTTAAAAGTCAACTGAAAGATAAAGAAAAACTTGAAATTGAATATGGTCAACTTCAATTAGAATTTGACGAAATGAAATCTGGCAAAGATAAATTAGAAACCAGATTAGAAGGTCTAAGTGATAAATTTGAAGAGATTAAAAATATCAATAACAACCTTAAAAATCAATTAATGGCTAAAGATGAAATGATAAATGAATTAAACCTTGAATTTGATCTCAAAAAAAAGGAAATCAAGACCTTAAAAGAAACGTTTAAAAATAATTCTGAAAAGCTTAATCAAGAACTTCGCGAAGAAATCAAAACTTTGAAAGACAATTATAATAAAAAAGTCAGTGAATTAAACAAGAAACAAGAAGCTTTAAAAGAACTCGAGTCATCTTATAATGAACTAAAAGTTAAACATCAAGAATCCCAAGCTAATAGTTCAAAAATTTCAAGGAAATTGGGAGATGTTGAAAATGAAAGAGAATTATTGGAAAAAGATAATCAGGATTTGAATGAGGAGAAATCACAATTAATTGATGAAAAGCAAGAACTAATAAAAGAAATAGAAAGGTTAAAAGAAGAAATACAAAATTCAGAAGAAGAAAAACTTGCATTAAAAAGTGATCTTGTAGAAGTCCAAGGAGCTCATAAGACAGTAGCTGATGTTCTTAAATTTATGAAAGTTGAATGGGAAACTCAATATCAAACCCTTAAGGCAGAATGTAACGAATCACAAGAACGAATAAAGGAACTTCAGGAATTAGCAGAGTCGAATAATGCCAAATCAAATGAAACCAATAGATTAGAAGAAATAATACAAGACCTACAGAGGCAGAAAAAAGCACAAGATATAATATTGGACGAGCATCAAAAAGGAATGCAAACTCTTATGAAAGATACGGCATCAGAAAGGGAGCAGTGGAGACAAAAAGAACAAGATTTTATACAAAGCTATGAGTCAATCGAACTACAAATGAATCAAAAGGAATCAGAGCTAAATATTATACGAGATGAGTTGGAGAATGCAATTAAAGACAAAAAGGTTATGAAAGAAAAGTTGATCAATGTTGGTAGAGAAAAGGTTGTTGCTGATTCTGATAAGAAGCGAATCGAAAATGAATTAGCGAAAACATTGGAAGAAAAAAGAAACCTTTCAAGTCAATTAATAGATGCAAGGAGACAATTGGATAGATTTAAAGAACAATTAAAATCGATTAAAATAATGGAGAAAAATATAGAAAGAGATAATAATAATAGTAATAATGAATTATTATCTAAACAAAAACAAGAATTAGATGTGCTTCAACAGCAACTTGTATCTTTAAACAAACAGCTTTCCATAAAAGATGACGAACAACATGATCTCATTCAAACAGTTGAACAACTTACTTTACGAACAGAACAAACTGCTGCAACTTATAAAAGCAAAATAAGTGCATTACAAAAACAACATGAAGAAGAATTGAAAAGTCTTACGACCGATATGCAGGCAAAATTAGAATCACTGGAGAAAAAACAAAAAAACCAGTCATTAAATAGTAATAATAGTCGCAGTAGCAGCAAATATCATAATGAAAATGGTAATGGTAATCTAGTAGATATTAAAAAACAATTAGAAAAGAGAGTTTTCGAATTAGAAAATTCTTTAGAATCAACAAAAAGTGAGTATAATAGATTGGATGAAAAATTAACACAGGTTGAAATGAAATATTTAGAATCGGTTCATGAAAAAGGTCAATTGGTAGAGGATAAACGTAATGCCGAAAGAAAAATAAAATCTCTGGAAATGAAACTTGAAAATGTAAATAGATATTACAAAAAAACTCTATTATTATTTAAAATTATTATTTATTATTAATGATGATATATATATTATTGTTATTTATTGTAGATTAAAGATGAGTCAAGTTTAGATACAAGGGAATTAGAAATGAAATATCAAGAGGTTTGTTCCTTATCATTCTTTATAATTATCAATAACATCGTTAATATTTACTTATTTTAATACTAATAAAAATAAAAATAATATTAATAGCTAATGGATAAAAACATGGAATTAACAATTAAATTAAGTACAATTGAATTATAATGAATCAATCAATCGATCAATAAATCAATTTTATTTTTATTTTTGATTTAAAAAAAAAACATTTGGGACAATTGATTTTTATTTTATAAAAAAAAAATGTAATTTTATTTCATTCTTTTTTTTCATTTCACGCATTTCAAAATATTATTTTAATTATCTATCCATAGAACTTCACATAATTCACACATTAACACACACACACATACATACACATTTTTTTAAATATATTATTTATTAATTAATTAATTAATTTATTATATTTTATAATATAAGATATATATATATATTATATATATATATATATATATATATATATAAATTAGAAGTTAAACAAGTTATATAGTATTTTTATTTGTTATGTAAATTGGAAAATCTATTTGCTAAATTTTATACATAAATATTACTTTTACACATAAATATTACTTTTAGAAAAAATAATTATATTTGAGCAATTAATTATAATCAAACATTTTCATCTTTTATGGTTGATGATGATGTTTCAACTTCAAGATTAAGTTTTTTTGTTGAATTATTTTCATTGTCATTTTTGGTTACATCATTACTACATAATATGATAGGAATAATAAGAATAAGGATTATTTTTATTTTCATTGCGTGATTAATCAACCAAATCAACAAATCAATCAAAAAATTTACTACAAACATTTTTCTTTTTCCCAAAGCTCTTGGTTTTGGTCCCCAATTTTTTTCTGGGTTTTGTTGATATCTAACTAATTTGATTTTTCTTGAGGGAGGTTCTACATCTTTATGAGTATTAAAATCTGCAATAAAACTTTTTAAAAATAAAATTTTTTAAATATTAATATATATATATATATACACACACATAAATTTAACAGTATAAAATAAACCTTGGTTCAACAGATAAAATCTTTTTAGATGGTGAATTTTCTGCAATATTTTTTGCCGTGACAGGATTTAATTTTACCCATGATTTCATGACATCCCAAATCAGACTCATTGGTGCGTCGGTTTTTATTGCGTTTGCAGCTGCATGTGATGCAGAAACTTTGTATCCTTTATTCAAAATTCCAGAACTATGAAAAAAAATAAATAATGAATGAATGGATGGATGGATGGATGATATAAAATATAAATTTTAAAAAATATAATATTTAAATTATTTATTAATTTTTACCAAACAGTTTTCAAAGGTGGACTAATGCAATGAATTACTCCAGAAAGCACCGGTATGCTATGATAAAGCGGACTATCCAATTCCTAAATGATAAATTATAAAATATAAATTAATCATGATAATGACAAATATATATATATATATATATTTATTATTAGTGTTTTTACCTCTGAAATAACTGTCAACATTCCCAACATTCTTGCATGTGTTTTGTAAGTCTCTTCGTTGGATGATTTTACATGATCCAACATTTTAAGAACGAAATCTTTATCATGAATGGAATGATTCCATATAGGACCTCCTACCTAAAATATACAAACAAAATTAAAAAAAAATATATATATTTGGTATAAATTTAATTTAATTACATGAAATTTATTTCCACAATTTTCACAAATACTATCTACAACTGGACCAGTCATTGGTCCAAATGAACCTTTCTCAAACATTTTAGCAAGAGGTTGCAAGTAAAAAGATTTGCACCCAGAACAAACATAAAGATGAGATGATTTACTAAAAAAAAAAAATAAATGTTAAAATTAATAAATAAATACACACACACACACACACACACACACACACACATATATATATACACAAGATGGTGAGAATAAAAAAAAGCAAGAGATGAAAAAAACTTGCCAACAATTTTTTTTAACTTCAAGAGGTGAACTAAAAACTCTAATAAAAACTCTAATATAAAAATCAATACTACATGATAACACAGGAACTATTTGACGATGATATCTTGCAGCAGATGTTGCAATTGTATTAATCAAAATACGAAGTGCCTTTTCAGGACAATGATTAAAATTGCATTAATATAAAAATGTAAAGATATTTAGAAATCAAAATAAAATAAATAATCGGTTACAAACAAACCATTTCATGACAATGCTCTCCCCTGATAGGAATTGATCCATAATTAGCATAACTAGAAAAAATTAAAAATTAATAAAAAATCAATCGATCAAAAAAAAAAATTTTTAGAATACAATAAAATATTCACCATTTTTCAGGATAATTAGAACCAGTAAGAATTGCCAAATCAGTACAAGTAATACAGAGTAAACCTATAAAGAAAAAGGTAATTATTCAACTATCCAGCAACAACAATGAGAAGAAAACGATAAATACCTCCGTTTTGAACAGCCTGAACCGCACCATCTAAAAAAGGAGCGGCTGTTCCATACGGATCAATATCAATAACGTCAAATCGATTTGAATGACTTCTATGTTGATACAAAACTGCGCTATTACAAATTACAGTAATTAAATATATGTATTTACATAGAGCTGGTGTTATCATTACCATTATTTTTTAAAAAAATAACACTTTATAATTGATTAATCAGGTAGGTATCTTTGATATTTACCATGCATCATCCTGATTAGCTCTCACCAAATCTTTATCTACATTATTATATTCTACATTCCTAATGATGGAATTCACAGCATCTAATTCTAAATCATTAGCAATAATATATTGAATATTTGGTATTTCTTTTGCGTAACGTATAGATCTTAATCCACTTGCTGACAATGCTTCTAGAATTGTAAATTTATAAAAGTTCTTTATATACCAGAGAGAAAAAAACATAAATAAAATTGATAATCAGCAAATAAAAAAAATGGCAATAAAAATCACGATCTATCATTTGTTTTTTTTAATACCTTTGAATCAGCTACAAATATAAATTTATTGGTAAGCATTTAATATTAGTAAATGATAAATTAAGATGAATTGATAAATAAATCAAATGCATCAACCAAATAATAAATGAATTGCAAAAGGAAAAAAAACAAAAAAGAAAGGGGAATTTTAAAGACTCAAATACATTAAATACATTGACTTTCTACACTTGAGTTATTTCCCTTTTTTTCTTTTTTTCGTAGCTTGGTTTCTTTTTCTTCGGAAATTATTTCATTCCATGTTCTAATTGCCGCGATTGACATATCTCGATTAAATTGTTGCACATTGTTATAAAAAACTTCATTGTTTTTTGGGAAAAGTATGCTAGCCTTTCCCTCGGTGATAACATTGTAGTCTTCTACATTCATGTTTGCAGCTATCTCCATTTCAACCTCAGTGATAGTGGTGGTGGTATAATTATTAGTGTTTATTACTTGGGAAAACAAGGGAAAGATTCGATTTGTAATAATTGCTTGACTAGAGCGTCGAATAGCAGAATAATTAAAAAGCTTCAACAATTCAATGTTCATTAAATTTTAGACGGATCTTTTTACACATGATCTGCAATTCATCAGAGAAAATTTTTATTTATTATTAATATTAATATTAATTATTAATAATAAGTTTGAATTCGAAGTGTTTATGATTGTCGTTAAACATGTATGAAATTTTAGCAGTTGAATCATAAGACCGATAGATCTCGGTTAAATAAATTTTTCAATTGAATAATTTTTAATTTCATCAAAAGTTATTATTATTATTCTGACTTCTTACATTAATTAACATAATATATTTATCTATAAAGGATCGTATGGAGCTATGGTCAATGATGATGGTTTCAGTTGGAATTTCTTATTTGAACGTATAACGAAAGTCACCGTTCCAGTATTATTTAATGATCGTGATAAATTTAGGTTTGTTGTGGACATTCAAAGTAAGTCTATAAATTATTTCACAAATGCTTGTGATGATTGAAATAAAATATTATACTGATGCATTGCATAATACAAATTAGTATGTATCAATTCTTTATCTCAGATTAAACCACAAGAAACTGCTGGAAAAATCGAGCAACTTCGGTTAGACCATAGTTACAATAAGTTCAATCCATCATCTAAGGATCTGACAGATTTAATACCATTCAAACTGCATATACCACAAAAGACAAAGACAAAAAAGGTGTAGAGCCATAAGACCGACTAGCTTGCCACATGGCACTAAAAGTCCATTTATAATTGGTCCATATAGAACAAACATTTTATTTTAAAAATCGAATCCCTATTTTCATATTTATATACATGCTTCAGAAGCAATTAAAAGGTAAATATTGTTATTATTTATCATTTTAAAAAGGTGATTATTTTAGTCGTTATTAAAAAAAAATAGCAGTGGGGATTATTGGTCTGTTCAATTGAAACCTCAATCTTTTTTTTATTTGCCTTTTAGACCTGATGATAATGTAGTTGCAGCTGCATCTACATCAACTGAAGAAACCGGGACCAAGTTTAATCATGACAAATCCTTAAAATTTTTCAAAGAAAATAAGGATTGGAGTCTCTCCAAATATATAGATCATATGGAATCTCAATTAAATGATGTAGAGAAGCCAATATGTTAAACCATATGATGAAATTTTGTAATGATGCAGAGAAAAAAAATGCTAAAAATTACTCAAATATATTTGAAGTCATTTGTTTTTAAAAGATCGTTTTAATAAAATATTAATATTATTTTGAATGAGATTTAAGAATTTAAGAGCGCTAATAATTATTATTATCCCTTAAACAGCTGTTGATAGCCGAAATTTTTTTTCTGTTATAAAAAACTTTTTTTGAAGGTATTATTTTCTAATACGAAAATGATCTTTGAGATTCAGTTGATTGATCTGTGAATAAAAATTCGGTTGTTGTCCTTGTGGTTTTCGTAAAATCTTCCTTAAAAGTTGGTCGATTGACTATTTTTACTTTGCAGATCGTTAAATTGGCCAATAAGAATGCAAGATCGTTAGGGATGGGGACGGTTTATGTCACGTCCGGCGACGAATAATATTTTATAATTGATACATGACGATTAATTACTAAATTATAAGTGACAATTAATTTGTCTTGTTTTGGCAATATAAATGTCACCTGTAATTTAGTATATTAATCGTCACGTATCAATTATAAAAATATTATTCGTCGCCGGACGAGACATAAACCGTCACATCCCTAAAGATCGTGATCAAAAAATTATTTTGTGTTACTACTACTAAAGAATACTTTGACCGTTTAAGGGATAATGCTGCCTTGACATCTTGTAATTATAATAATATAATATTAGTATTATTATTACGATTATGCAAAGCAAAATATTATCAATGAAATCTTGTAATTACACAGCAAGATTTGCTCCGTGTTTTGATTCCAATTAAAATATTTATAAGCTAAAATAAAAGACACATCATACAAATAAAAAAAGTATCACTGGTTAGTTATTAACACGTTTCTTTAGGAGACCCAAACCAAATCAGACAACAACAATCATGTTTGTCACCTTGGACTCTGTCAAAAAATGTATTATTTTTTGTTTTTCCAAAAAAAAATCAATTTGCATCTATCCTCCTAAAAAAAAAACCAATAGGATAAATGATTAATGTGTACACATTGATCAAATCACAAACTTCTTTTATTTTATTTTATTAAAAATGTCATCAAACAGATTCAAAAATACCAATAAAAGAAGGGCAGAAAAAGAATTAGTTGAAAGAGGGTAAGTGTTTTAAGGGTGGTGGTGGTTATTGCCTGCCACTCATCATTACTCTAGTTAAAATAAAATTTTTTAATTTTTTTTGTTATTCCATATTATTCATTTTCTTATAT